TGCACAAGTATGTGTGTGGTGTGTAATTTACAGTAGATGAATTGTAATTAATTTTCTTTTGTGAAATGAAGACATTTTGCTGACTTTAAAGCCGTGCAGACAGCAGCTGTCAGCAGTATAACCACAATTATGTAGTTTTTCCTCTGTGCTTCCCAGGGCAGCAGCCCCAGAAGGTGTCTGTCCCCTGAACAGACTTTCACAATCCTGTCTCAGACCCAGTTTTGCCCACAACCTGTGCCTCCTCCTTCCTCTTTCTGTGGCAAGAATGGGGAGGCCCGAGTTTCTGTCTTTCCATAGCTAGGACTCTGCCTCACCTTCCTCATGGGTGAATGGGGAGGAAAGCTAACCAGAAGGACCCCTTCCCTGGGCCTCTGCTGCCCCCTGTGGGTGTCCTCAGTGTGGTACTTCTAGAACCCCACGCGTTTCTGAAAGCTCTCTGCAGATCTCACTAGCTGACTAGATTTCCTACTAGTGTTTTCGTTTTTGCTGAAGTCGCTGTCTTGATGAGTTTCGCTAGCTCATGAGGGCCCTTCCCTATGCTTCCCCTACAGCTTTTCAGTTTGCAACACAGCAAGCTCACCTCCTTGTGGGGTGGGGGGGACTGTGGGTGTGTGTGTTCCCGGCTGCCCATCTTGCTCTTGCTCTCCTGCCGTGTTCTGTGTCGGAGGGGAACAGCAGAAGCAGACCAACCCCCTCCCCGCCCCGAAGCTGGAGGATGGTGACAGTCCCAACTGACATTACTGTCCCTGAGATAATTGGCCGGCTCCGTCCGTCCCCCTGCCCTGGGCCTCCTGCTTCTTGGGCCTTGTTTTGCTCTCTGTTTTTTGTAAGCTCGCACTAGATGTGGGTGTAGGCAGTGCTTTGCTAATGGCTGTTGCGCTTGGGCAGAAGGTGTAATCATGATCCAAGCTCGAGGTGGAGGCCCTGCGGGGTGATGGGAGACCTCAGTGGCTCGGGCTCTCTGCTTGGTAGATGAGACTTCCTTCGTGAAGGCCCAGTAAGCACACTTCCTCTTCAAGATCTTACCGTCTTTTGCCAGCTACACGGGAGTGAAGCCCACAGCTGTCCCCGCATTTCAGCCAACCCAGAGGAGTGATTTTTGTTCTTGGCATAAAGCTGAAACTCCTGACCTTCTCTGTGTGTGGTGTAATCATTCTTTCTCGAACAGATGACCCAGTTCCCTCAGAACGCATGGGTGTATTTGGGCTCCTCGTCTCCGAGGTGCAGTCTCTGGGTGCTTGGCTGGAGCGTCTGGCTGTGGGAGCATGGGGGGAGGAAGGAGAATGGGACTTGAAGGGGCAGAGAACCAGTAATGCCCTACAGAGGTACACCCCAGTGACCTACCTCTCCACAAGACCACAGCGTCACCAAGCTTGCAGAACTTCCCAAGAGTACCACCAACTGTGGGCCAAGTGTCTGATACCCGAGCCTGCAGGGAACATTTTCTGTTCAGCTCAGGACACACACACATATTTATGGAAAGTGGTGGACACTGCACAGCCGTCATGCCTAGAGACCCAGTGTGTTCTCCTCAACAGACACGGTGGCGTAGAAACTTTCATCTTGCCGGAGGGTCTCGTAGGTCCCTTGTGTCAAGTTCCAGGTCCCAGGCGTCCCAGCTTCCAGCAGTGGCTGCCCTGCCTGCAAGTCAGACTGTCCCCAGGGGAAACATGGGCTGCACAGCTGGGCCCGTTCATTCTGCTCCTCGATGGCTCTCCCTTTACTGCGGCTTAGTCCATATCGTCCCAGCTTGGCCCTTGGCTTCTCTGACTCAAGTTTCTGGGTCCTAGGTAGAAAACACCACATATTGGGGGGCTCTACTCATTCGTTTCCTGGAATGTTCTCAGCCATTGCCAGAAAGCTTTCCTCTTCCAGCCACTAGGAGGAACTGCCCGGGAGGCCAGCCTCTTCTTACAGATCCTACTGGGGACTCCTCTGGAGGGGGGCTCCCTGGAGTAACTGAGCTCAGAGGCGTGTGCAGAGAGGCTGGAGGAGGGCTGGACCACTCTGAGCTTGGGCTCCCTCCACGGTAAAGGAAGATGGGCTGTTTCTCCCGCTGTGCCTGAGTCTTAGAGTAGGTGACAGCTGAAGGAGTGGCTGGTGTCCAGCGAGTGTTGCTCTCTGCTCCAGATGAGGGACACTCCTGTAGGGCCTCAGCATGCCCTCGATTTCCAGCTCTCCATCTTCTCCTTTGTAAAAGCTGTGCTATGCAATGTCTAGGTGTTTTTCTTTTACTTTTTCAAGAGCTTCTGCTACTGCCCATGGGGAAGGGCCCTGAACCCCAAACTAGAGCTTGAGGCAGTTTCCTTCAGGGAGAATGTTCATAAATGTTGGAGGTGAGTGCTCTGAGGGTGGTTATCCAAGGAGTGTTCTGAGCCAGGTAGGCTTCCGTAGACTCCTAACGGCACTGTCCATTTTCGTGAGCGTTTGGACAGATGTTCCCAAGCAGGGGAGACTTAACAGCAAATTCAAGAGAACCTGGGGACTACTCACTGTTGTAGCTTAAAAAGCGGTGCACAAGAGAAAGATGCCATGCAACAGAACTCACACAGAGGGGATTTTTTTTTTAATTAGGGGAAAGGGAATTGGAAAAGGGGGGCACCAGCCTCTGGGGACAGGAGCAGCAGAAGAAAAAGGGGGGATATAGAGAGACAGGCAGGGAAGCAGAGAGAGCTAGAGAAGGAGATGGGTGGTGGGCAGGGCCCTTTTAAAAGGAAATGTGCACAGAGGGCGCCCTTAGTGGCGGCAGCTGAGGGGGTATCCTGTCAGGACCCCAAGGGCAGGCCAGAACAGATGCCGGAATAGTATCACTCACCGTGTCCTGGATGGTGATGATGCAGGAGTCATTAGCACGGCCACACTAACACAGGGACAGTGTGAGAAGACTCTGTTTTACAAAATGCAAGATCTGGAGTTTAACGGGATAAGGGGGAACCTGTTTTATAAAATGCAAGATCTGGAGTTTAACGGGATAAGGGGGACCTGTTTTATAAAATGCAAGATCTGGAGTTTAACGGGATAAGGGGGACCTAGAAATAAGTGTCTTACCCATCCCGACTCATACTCGACACCCTCCCTTGATGGCAAGGACTGTCCCTACTGCAAGACACTTTACAGTGGCTGGTGACCTCGGGGTGAGCTCTCCCAAGCCTTGCTGTGAAGGTGGTTCTCGGTGTCTGAGTATCAGGTCCGCTGCTGAAGAAGAGGGGGTCCTCAGGGCCTTTGCCATGTACCCCAATCGCCACCACCAAAGCCCGCCCACCCTCCTGACACCCAGACTTCACTTCCTTCTCTTAATACAAGTGTGTGGGCCATGCTGTCCCCAAGGGAGGCCCAGCGCACAGAGTAGAGGCGACGGTGGTGGGTGTGCTTTAGTCTTTGAAGCGGTTCAGGAACTGTCAGCACCTGCATAGCCACCCGTGAGAACGAGGCGCCACAGAAACCACTTTGCTGCCCCTGTGCAGTATCGATGTTAGTGCCATCCCCATTAGAGACCCTGGCTTTGAAGGCTAAGTGATTCACTGGCCGTGAGTCACCCTCTAAGTGGCAGGGTGACATTTAAATACCGCGGTGGCGGCAGAGCCCAGGCACTCAGCACCCCTCGCCCTGCGTGGGATGAGGGGAGAGAGCCTGCCTCACCAGTCGGGGGACTAGAGAGAAGAAAGACAGGCGAGGAGAAGCGGCCGGCGGGCTTGTGACAGCCCAACAAACCCTTGATGGGGACAGGGGGTGAGTTAGACAAGGGACACAGCACTGCTGGATGCCAAGGCCGCGTGAGTGGGGTGACCGCTGCTCGGAACCCACAGAAGAAGCCAGGCGTGGTCCGTGCCTGTAGTCCCAGTGCCGGGAGGGCAGAGGCCAGCGGCGGGTTGTGGGCCTTGCTGCCCAGCTAGTCTAGCCTAATCTGTGAGCCCCAGTTTCCAGTGACGGGGGCTGGTGTCTGAGGAGGAACAGTCCGGGTTGACCTCTGACCTCCACAGGCACGTGTACACGTGTGCACCTGTGTGTACCTGCATTGGCTCGCCCTGTAGCCTGCTCACCCGTGGGATGCCCCTTCTCCTTAGACCTCCTAAACTCAGGGTTTCTGTCTGTGCTGACTGGGTTGTTTTTGTTTTTTTTTTCTGTTCCCTTTTCTTTTTATGAGGGCTTCACTGCTTTCTAGAATTTTCTCCCACCTGAGCCGAAGCCAAGAGCAACCTGAAGGAGAGGGTTCGTGTGGCTTACGCTTCCACGCCCTTCTACGCCTCAGTCCATCACTGGAGGAAGCCAGGGCGGGGACCCGGGAGCGGGCACTGATGCAGAGGCCTCGGAGGACAAGGCTCCTCCTGGCGTGTTCAGTTAGTTCCCTTTTACCTGTCGCCCAGGCCTACCTGCCCGGGGATGGCTCCTCCCACAGTGGGCTGGGTCTCCCCATATCATTGAGAAAACGCCCCACAGATGTACCTACAGGCCCGTCTGTCAGAAGTAATTCCTAAGCCAGCTTTCCTCTTCCTACATGACTCTAGCTTGTGTCCGGTTGACAAAAAAAAAAAAAAGAAAGAAAGAAAAAGAAAAAAAAAACTGAGCTGCTGTGAAACCATGCAGTTCTGCATGGATGAGTACTTCCAGAAAGCCTTGCGTGTGTTAACCTGTTTGAGTCTGAGTTTTTGGTCTCTGCATATTCAGAAACCTCTTACTGCCGAAAGTTCTTGATGCCCGTATTCAGTTGGTGTGTGGTGCTGAGACTCATGGAGCAGGAAGCTTTGACTCGGGCAACACTTAAGGTTCCTGAGTCAGTGTTAACCTGTTTGAGTCTGAGTTTTTGGTCTCTGCATATTCAGAAACCTCTTACTGCCGAAAGTTCTTGATGCCCGTATTCAGTTGGTGTGTGGTGCTGAGACTCATGGAGCAGGAAGCTTTGACTCGGGCAACACTTAAGGTTCCTGAGTCAGTGGGCATGGGGAAAAGGGGATGCAGGCCCGGGCCTTCATTCATTTGGAACTTTCTGCTTTGCTTGCCAGGTACACAGATAAGCTGCTTCTCCCCAAGCTCTTTCTCCTGGCGACAGGCCGCCTTTGTGGATTCATACTGCTGGGCCGCGGTGCAGCAGAGGAGCTCCCTGCAGAGCGAGTCCGGGAACCTCCCGCTGTGGCTGCACAAGGTGAGGAGGTAGAGTCAGGCCCCCCCCCGTACTTGCTTTGCAGGCTTGGGAGTGGAGATAGAGTCAGGCCCGCTGTACTTGCTTTACAGACACGGAAGTGGAGATAGAGTCAGGCCCCCGTACTTGCTTTGCAGGCATGGGAGTGGAGATAGAGTCACACCCACCATACTTGCTAGAGAGGCTGCCCTGCCCCCTGCCCCACAACTGTGCAAGGGTGTGTGTGGCAGAGCCACAGAGGAGGGGCCTCAGCAGGGACTTCATCAGATGTCCCCCGTGGAACCGATGAGACAGTCGGTGCTCTCTGAATTTTAGCGTTTTAGGGACATCTGAATTTTAGCTTTTTAGGGACAGGCAGCGGGCACATAGTTGTTTTCTTTGCATCCTTAGTTCCCCTGCAGAATGTCTCACCCGTGGCGGGCACTCTGAACCTTTTGGACATCTGAATAAGCAGAGCTGGGGTTTGCATGTTGTCTGGAGCCGTGTTTGTGACACGTGAGGTCATTTAGAAAAAGTAAATAACAGAGTTAAGTTGCTTCTGGCCACTGTGTTGCTGGAGCCCCCCAGAAACCTGGCCGTGAATCCTGGGCACACAGCTCTTGATGGGTTTCTGGTGGGAACATGTTCTAAAAGGAAGCTGAGAAACCACCCGGAGGCATTCTTAACCAGGCTGTTCAGATTAGAGAGAAGAGGTGCAGGCCAGGGCACCGTGGGGTGAGGGTATACAAAGACTGCAGAGGAAGAAACTGCAGCGAGAACCAGCAAGGGTGTGCAGAACACTCTTAGGTGATGCGTGACACCTCAGTCTTCTCTGTGAGTGATGTGTGACACCTCAGTCTTCTCTGTGAGTGATGATGGACACCTCAGTCTTCTCTGTGAGTGATGCTTGACACCTCAGTCTTCTCTCTGAGTGATGATGATGGACACCTCAGTCTTCTCTGTGAGTGATGCTTGACACCTCAGTCTTCTCTCTGAGTGATGATTGACACCTCAGTCTTCTCTCTGAGTGATGATTGACACCTCAGTCTTCTCTCTGAGTGATGATTGACACCTCAGTCTTCTCTCTGAGTGATGATTGACACCTCAGTCTTCTCTGTGAGGGATGCGTGACACCTCCGTCTTCTCTGTGAGTGATGATTGATACCTCAGTCTTCTCTCTGAGTGATGATTGACACCTCAGTCTTCTCTGTGAGTGATGCTTGACACCTCAGTCTTCTCTCTGAGTGATGATTGACACCCCAGTCTTCTCTGTGAGTGATGATTGACACCCCAGTCTTCTCTGTGAGTGATGATGGACACCTCAGTCTTCTCTGTGAGTGATGATTGACACCTCAGTCTTCTCTCTGAGTGATGATGGACACCTCAGTCTTCTCTGTGAGTGATGATTGATACCTCATTCTTCTCTCTGAGTGATGATTGACACCTCAGTCTTCTCTCTGAGTGATGATTGACACCTCAGTCTTCTCTCTGAGTGATGATTGACACCTCAGTCTTCTCTCTGAGTGATGATTGACACCTCAGTCTTCTCTCTGAGTGATGATTGACACCTCAGTCTTCTCTGTGAGTGATGATTGACACCTCAGTCTTCTCTGTGAGTGATGATTGACACCTCAGTCTTCTCTCTGAGTGATGCTTGACACCTCAGTCTTCTCTCTGAGTGATGATTGACACCTCAGTCTTCTCTCTGAGTGATGATGGACACCTCAGTCTTCTCTCTGAGTGATGATTGATACCTCATTCTTCTCTCTGAGTGATGATTGACACCTCAGTCTTCTCTCTGAGTGATGATTGACACCTCAGTCTTCTCTCTGAGTGATGATTGATACCTCAGTCTTCTCTCTGAGTGATGATTGACACCTCAGTCTTCTCTCTGAGTGATGATTGACACCTCAGTCTTCTCTGTGAGAGATGATTGACACCTCAGTCTTCTCTGTGAGTGATGATTGACACCTCAGGTCTTCTCTCTGAGTGATGATTGACACTCCAGTCTTCTCTGTGAGTGATGATTGACACCTCAGTCTTCTCTGTGAGTGATGATTGACACCTCAGTCTTCTCTCTGAGTGATGATTGACACCTCAGTCTTCTCTGTGAGTGATGATTGACACCCCAGTCTTCTCTCTGAGTGATGATTGACACCTCAGTCTTCTCTGTGAGTGATGATTGACACCTCAGTCTTCTCTCTGAGTGATGATTGACACCTCAGTCTTCTCTCTGAGTGATGATTGACACCTCAGTCTTCTCTGTGAGTGATGATTGACACCTCAGTCTTCTCTCTGAGTGATGCTTGACACCTCAGTCTTCTCTCTGAGTGATGATTGACACCTCAGGTCTTCTCTCTGAGTGATGATTGACACCTCAGTCTTCTCTGTGAGTGATGATTGACACCTCAGGTCTTCTCTCTGAGTGATGATGGACACCTCAGTCTTCTCTGTGAGTGATGATTGACACCTCAGTCTTCTCTGTGAGTGATGATTGACACCTCAGTCTTCTCTCTGAGTGATGATTGACACCTCAGTCTTCTCTCTGAGTGATGCTTGACACCTCAGTCTTCTCTCTGAGTGATGATTGACACCTCAGTCTTCTCTGTGAGTGATGTCAGGTCTTTCCCGTGATGAGAGACACTTGAGTCTTCCCTGCACACACAAAAGCAGGGTTCTGCTGTGGCCTTTCCGTCACCCAGTGGTTCTTTGCCCTTCATAGAAAACAAGTAGAACAGTTGTATCTTTTGGTGCTCACATGTACTGTGGAAAATGCGTGATGTCTTCTGCAGGGCCAGAGCTGACCCCAGAGCCTCTGCGGCGGTAACTGCTCTGGACACGCAGGCAGCATTCTTCCCTGGAAAAGATCTTTCTACATCCTCTGACTCCTCTGTTTGTAAGTCTCAGTCCATGCCGCTATAGTTTAAGTCCATGTTAAGATGTCAACCGTGGAATGCCAAGTTGTACAGCCTCTGGGTTGGCATTGGCCGAGCGCCTCTGGGTTGGCATTGGCTGAGCCTCAGATTGTAGCTGGGGTTGCGTGACGTAGGAGTTGGCAGGGATGACAGCTACTGTGGGACTCCTGGAGGAACAAAAATAGCAGATGCTTTTCACACGACGCGCTAAGGGAGCCTTGAGAGACGAGGCCCAGGGCCATAGACTCGTCTGGGACTGTACAAACAGAACCCACGTCTGCAGACTCCCAGCTCCTCGTGTTGCAGTCAAGGAAGCGGTGTGGGTAGCTCCCTGTGTGGTGAGCACCCCGTGCTCTCTTCTGGTGCTGAGAGAGGGCGCGTTCGCTCGGACACCTGGTTATGAGTATCTGAGAGAGCCCTCGCCAGGTTCAGAGAACTCGGGGCAGACTGAGGTTGAGACCTGCCTGGCTAACACTCAGGCTTGGTGGGGCCTTTCCTTGGGGAAGGGGGCTCCTCCCCGGGGCTAGAGTCTCGGTCTGAATCACCTCAGTGCCAGGGTGATTGGCAGTGTCTCTAGGTTACCTGCCCGCCGGAAGCAGGGCAGAGTCCTCCCTGGAGGACTGCGATCTGTCCTTTCCGTGCTGGGTGTGTGGCGTTCAGCAGACGCAGAGAAACCCCGAGGAAAGTTGCAAACAGGAGCAGACCTACAGGAGGGCCTGATCAGACCCTGCAGCGCTCATTAGCGGTGGACTCGGGGACTGAGTCATGTGGAGGATGCCACAGGGAACTGGAAGATTCAGACGGAGGAGCGTTTCCACGCCGCAGACAGTGGCGCGGACCAAGGGTCCTCCTTACGCTAGGGTGCGTGCTTGGCAGCCATGGGCCGCAGACGGCGTGAACTCAGATTCTCTGAGTCCACTATGGGGAAAGGAACACGCTAGAGGATAACTAGAGAGTGAGACAGAAAAGGGGAAGTGTGGTTTTCCCAGAAACCAAGGGACAGGAGCCCCTCTGCTGCAGGGGTGGAGCCGTGTCCGTGTCCTGCTGCATAGTGGCTTTCCCAGAAACCAAGGGACAGGAGCCCCTCTGCTGCAGGGGTGGAGCCGTGTCCTGCTGCATTGCTAATCTTTGGTGCCCCTGGCAGCCAGGAGTCTAAAAAACAAAAACACTTAACTGGCGTTTTCCTTAGCGAATCTGCTTTCCTTGTGGGCAGAGGCTGCAGGCTGGGTGGGAACGGGGTGTGAGGGCTGGGGAGGCTTCCTGTCCAGGAGGTGTGAGAAGGAGGGGGAAGGAGAGGCTGGGGAGGAGGCAGAGATGCTGAACCTGCAGGCCCTGAGGCATCGCCTGTAGCTGGGGTTCCCAGCCAGCGGGTCACCACCCCAGGGTGCCCTGCATGTCGGATACTTACATTGCAGTTCTTAACAGTAGCGGAATGACAGTCGCGAAGCAGCAGCGGAATAATGCCATGGTCGGGGTCACCAAAGGTCACAGTGTTAGCATGGTTGAGAACCGCGGGTGTAGGAAGTGTAGGGGTGAAGCACTTCCTGGGGAGTGTAGGGGTGAAGCACTTCCTGTGGGGTGTAGGGGTGAAGCACTTCCTCTGGGGTGTAGGGGTGAATTACTTCCTCCGGGGTGTAGGGGTGAAGCACTTCCTGTGGGGTGTAGGGGTGAGGCACTTCCTTTGGGGTGTAGGGGTGAATTACTTCCTCCGGGGTGTAGGGGTGAAGCACTAACTGTGGGGTGTAGGGGTGAGGCACTTCCTCTGGGGTGTAGGGGTGAATTACTTCCTCCGGGGTGTAGGGGTGAAGCACTAACTGTGGGGTGTAGGGGTGAGGCACTTCCTCTGGGGTGTAGGGGTGAATTACTTCCTCTGGGGTGTAGGGGTGAAGCACTAACTGGGGTGTAGGGGTGAATTACTTCCTCTGGGGTGTAGTGGTGAAGCACTCCCCGGGAGGTGTGGGGCAGGGCGGCCCTGGCAGACCAGACCGCAGGCCGGGTTGCAGAGAGGAGGCTCTGGCCTGTGGGAGCCGCTGTGTCCCAGGGAGCGAGGGAGGGCTGGGTTCTAAGAGTTGGTGCTCCCCAGTGGTGAGCGGAGAGGCCGGGAAGCCT